AAAATTGTAAATTTTGGTGTACGCTTAATAAACTTACTTTCATTCAAAATGAACCAAAATTGACAAAATTCTTGGGTTATAAGTCAAAAAAATTGCTACTTTTGATGTATGCATAATTTATTTATATTCGTTTAAAACGAATGAAAATTGTCACGTATCATGTGCTATATAGCTTATGAAAATCGCAAATTTTTATGTGCACATAATAAATTTAATTTTATCAAAATGAACAAATATTAAAACAGGTGTGGGTTATAGCTCATGAATTTGCATCTTCTGATGTACACATAATATATTTATATTCATTTAATGAACAAAATTGTCAAAAATCATGTGTTATAGTTCATGAGAATCACAAATTTTGATGTGCACATAATAAATTTATTTTTAGCAAAATGAACAAATATTGGAGCAGTCATGAGTTATAGCTCATGAAAATTGCGTCTTTTAATGTAAACATAATTTATTTATATTCGTTTAATGAATAAAAAATTATTAAGAATCACGTGTTATAGCCCATGAAAATTGCTAATTTTAGTATACACATAATAAATTTATTTTTTTCAAAATGAGCAAATATTGGAACAGTGGTGGGTTATAGCTCATGGAAATGACAAATATTGATGAACACAATAAGTTTACTTGCATTTGAAACGAACCAATATTGACAAAAATCATGGGTTGTAACACATAAAAATCAAGAATTTTGATGTACGCATAATAAATTTACTTTCATTTGAAATGAATCAAAATTGACTAAATTCGTTAATGATAGCTCATGAAAATTGCGATTTTGACATATACATACTTTATTTACATTCATTTAAAATGAATCAGAATTGTTAAAATTCATGGATTATAGCCCATGAAAACTGCGAATTTTGATGTACACAAAAAATTTGCTTTTGTTCGAAAAAATAAAAATTGATAGAAATTGTGAGTTATAACTCATGAAATCGCAAGTTTTGAAGTACACATGATAAGTTTATCTTCATTTCAAATGAACGAAAACTAACAAAAATAGTGGGTTATCATAAATTTTGATATTCCCATAATTTATTTAAACTTGTCTAAAAAAGAATAAAAATTGTCAAAAGTCTTGGGCCATATCTTATAATAATCACAATTTTATATACACAATAAATAAACTTTCATTCGAAACGAACTAAAATTGATAAAATTCATAGATTATAGCAAGAATTTTTATGTACACAATTTATATTTGTTTGAAAAATTGACAAAAATCCTTGATTTTAGCTCACAAAAATCGCAAATTTTGATGTGCACAAAATAAATTTACTTTCATTTGAAACGAACCAAAATTGATAAAAATCATAGGTTATATAATATATAGCACATGCAAATCGATTTTTTATGTACACATCAAATGTACTTTTGTTCGAAAGGAATCAAATTTCTCAAAAGTCGTGGGTTATAGCTCATGAAAATTAGAGTTTTTGTGTATACCTAATTTATTTACATGTGTAAAACAAACAAGAATTGTCATAAATTGTAAATTATAACCCATAAGAATTACAAATTTTGATGTACAGATATAAACTTTACTTTTGTTAAACAGATCAAAATTGATAGAAATTGTGAGTTACTTCGTAAATTTTGTAGTACACATACTAAGTTTTATTTGTTCGAAATGGACGAAAATTGATCAAAATAGTGGATTCTAAGCTTATGAAAAGCGTAAATTTTTTGATGTACCCATAGTTTATTTACATTCTTTCAAAAACAAAAGAAAATTGTCAAAACCTGTAGAATATAGGCCAAGAAAATCACAATTTTTGATGTACACAATAAATTAACTTTCACTCGAAATAAACCAAAATTGTTGAAAATCGTGGGTTATAGCTCATGAAAAATTGTGAATTTTGACGTGTACATAATTAATTTACATTGTTGGAAATGAACCAAATTTAACAAAATTCATGGATTATAGCTTATGAAAATACCGATTTTTATACACACATCACTTGTTTATATTCGTTCAAAGTGAACCAAAATTGTCAAAAATCATGAGTAATGGATCATGAAAATCGTGAATTTTGATGTATACATTATTAATTTACATTTGTTCAAACTAAACCAAAATTGACTAAATTCGTGGGTTATAGCTTATGATTGTGATTTTTTTATGTACACATAATCTATTTAGTCAAAATTGTCGAAAATCACGGGTTATAGCTTATGAAAATAGTGTATTTTGATGTCCTCATAATTTATTTATATTCATTTGAAACTGAATGAAAATTAACAAAAATCATAGATTATGTCCCATAAAAATAGCAAATTTTATGTACACAATTAAAAAAATATTCATTTAAAATGAACCAAAATTGACATAAATCGTGGGTATAGCTCATGAAAATTGCTAATTTTGATGTACACATAATTTATATATGTTCAGAAAGAATTAAAATTGACAAAAATCATTACCTATAACCCACAAAAATCATGAATTTTGATGTACACATAATAGATTTATTTTTGTCCAAAGCGAACCAAAATTAACAAAAATCATAAGCTATAGCTCATGAAAATTGCTAATTGTAATGCACAACTTATTTTTATTGGTTCAAAACGAACCAAAATAGTCAAAAATCATGAATTATGGCCCACAAAAAATCATAAATTTTGATGTACACATAATTAATTTACTTTTGTTCAAAATTAAAATACAATTGACAAAATTTGTGCGTTATAGCTTATGAAAATCATTAATTTTGTTGTGCACAATTTATTTACATTCGTTTAAAACAAAACAAAATTGTTAAAAATCATAGTTATGAACTATGAAAATCGTAAATTTTGATGTACACAATAAATTAACTTTCATTCTAAATGAACCAAATTTGATAAAAATCGCGGGTAATAGCTCATGAAAATAGTTAATTTTAATGTACATTTGCTTTCATTCAAAATGAACAAAAATTAACAACAATTGCGAGTTATAGCTCATGAAAATTATGAATTTTAATTTATACATAATTTATTTACATTCATTCAAAACAAACCAAAACAATCAAATTCGTGGGTTATTGAACATGTAAATCGCGATATTTGATAAGTACAAAATCAATTTATTTTCATTCAAAATGAACCAAAATTGAAAAAAAATCATAGTTCATAGTTACAAAACTCAAAAAAAAATTATGTATACATTCACAAATTTACTTTCATTCAGAAGTAACCAAAATTGCTATTACCGATTTTGATGTGCACATAATAAATTTATTTTCATGCAAAATGAACTAATATCGAAAAATTCGTAGATTATAACCCATTAGAATTGCAAAATTGTTGTATACATATAATTTGCCTTGACAGAGTCGTGAGTTATAATACACAAAAATCATGAATTTTGATATACTCGGTAAATTTATTTCTATTTGAAATGAACCAAAACTAGAAAATCCGTGGATTATGCCCATGAAAGTAGCAAATTTTGATATATACATAATAAATTTGATTTAGTTTGAATGAACCAAAATTGACAGAAATTGTGAGTTATAGCACATAAAAATCACGAATTTTGATGTACTCAGTAAATTTTATTTTCATTCGAAATGAACCAAAACTGGAAAATTCATGGATTATACCCATGAAATCGCATATTTTGATGTATACATAATAAATTTGATTCTGTTCAACACCGAACCAATAGTGAAAGAAATCGTGAGTTTATAACAAATGAAAATCAAAAATTTTGATTTGCACAGTAAATTTATTTTCATTCGAAATGAACCAAAATTGAATTTTTTGTTGATTGAAAATTGCAATTTTTGATATACATAATAAATTTGATTTTCTTCAAAACGAATTAAAATTGATAGAAGTCGTGAATGATAGCACATGAAAATCACGAATTTTGATGTACACATAATTTGGAATTTTGATGTGACCTTGGTTCGGATGTTTTGAACATTGAAATGACTGAAAATTGTAGTTCTTTTTTCTTAATGAACTTTTTCCACATCTGAGTAATATCGATAAGGAAATTCCTTCTGGTATTTCTTGGAGAAATTCCTTGTGACTCGTATCCTCCTCATCACAAGGTAGAAGGCCTAATCAAATTTCTTCTCAAGTTCTGTTCGTGTAATAAAACACGTGTTTGAAGGAAATACTACAGTCCACTTTTTCAGCATCAACTTTCAAGAAACAAAATTGGGCTAAGGCCCTTATCCTTCTCAAAGAAAAACTTTCAAAAAATTTATTATGAACTTTAATTGGCCAATACTTCCTTGGCATTGACAGAGCTGGCCGTTTAGGTTAGTGGTGAAAAGGGATTTGTATAGCTCACCTTGAAAATTACCATAGAAGCTTGGTTATATATCTCGACAACTCACCCTTGGCTGAAAATTTCTGCACGATATATATATCCTACTATTGTTTTCATTCGTATTTCTGAATTTTTCTCAATATTCCTCACACTGTAGCTATCTGAATCTAGATTTATGTAATCCTTGTGCACGTTTTCGGTTGGTCATTTATATTAGATGATATCCATCACCGGATAAATTCGGGGTCACTTTTGACCTAGAACTAAATATCAAACAGCATATTTTCTTGTTTCGGCATAAATTCTTAGCATGCTTCTCTTGGTTGTGCGATACTTTGTGCCAGCATGCAGGTTTTCCTTTTTCCATGACACTTTCCTCCCAAATAAAAAACAAAGATACCTAAAACTATAGTAGGCTAATGCAACCGAACTTTTGCGTATGAGATTATATTCTTCCTGAGGAGAAAATAAAAGGGAACCTGGTGTTCCTATTTTTTGTTTGAAACTTTCGGGACGTAAAAATTTGCACCCCAGTTATAGACATGTTCTATAAAAATCCAGCACACACCTGTTTCCATTATGTTTCCTTTTGATTCTATTCTATTTGACAAGGGAAGTTGAAAATGATTTAGGCATATTTTTTAGTGGTTTGAAGACATACGTTTGCTTTGATTCTTATTCTGAAGTATATATCCTATTCTTTGTTCAGGCTATTTGGCACTGATGAAGATTACAGGAAGCAGAAAGCACTACAGAGCGAAGGCAAAGAACTCTGAGAAACGAGCTGAGTGGTTCCCTTTTCGTGGTTGTATTTTTAGACTTTGCTATAAAACCCTCTCCATCATGGGATGAAAGTTCGTAGATATGAGACACGGTAAAAATGTCTGAACGTATATTTGGAAAGTACCCCAAGCTTCCATATATTGAATCTTTCATGAGTAACTGATGCCACATAGGCTCTCACCCATTTAGCAGAAAATTATATCCTACAACGGAATAACTGATACAAGTGACGGCTCATTTTGCAAAATGAAGTATTGAGATTCGAGAGGTAGCAGCGGGTTCTATATTTTCTGATGCAACTAGCTATAATAGGGTGTGATTGTAAACTTTTCAAAATGCGGACAGGTTCAAATTTAACCCCATCTTCAGCAAAAATATGTTTTGGATGGGGCCAATTTCGGCCTAGTTTTTCTAAGGCTAAATTTGGCATTTAATCTGGTTTTGTTTTGGACCAGCTTCTCATTGGTCTAAAGACGAAACAAATTTAGTTTGAAACAGAGCCAAGATTAGTTCTGACCCAATTTTAGGATAGTTGTTAGACGCGCCCTAGGTTTCGCTATTAGCCTATCTTTTGATAATTCATTTAGCAAACTTAGCAAAATGAGACGTGTTATGTTTAATCGATCATTATCTCATCAAACTCTTAAAAAGAAGAACGCATCATTTTCGTACCATTACTTTATTTGGATTGTTGATATAGCATTCACGTTGACCATCCTATATTATAAGCCTTCACTAACTAACTTTTATAATCTTAATCTACTCCTCATCACAATATGTTTTTTTTTTTTTTTTTCATGGCTAATGAAGTTTGACGTGAACGTTTGGTTTTTTTTTTGTAAACCAAAAGTTTACACGTAAACCCCCATCAGCTGGTACGGGTGTTCGCCCAAAATAAAGAAAAAGTTTGTGGCGCGTCACCATCAAATCTCTATTCCAAAGATTTGATTTTTGGCTCGTTAAAACATCGTATTGCCACCTGTTGCTTCTAGCTCGTAGTGGCGTTCAACCAAATCCGCTCAGCCTCAGGCCCTGTCCCTTTCCTGGCCAGCTAACTCGGACTCAGAAACCTCCTCTTCCCCTTGGACACGTAAACCAGCCTGACCAGTTTTCATACGTGGACGCATATATATACATAACAATTATTAATTGATATTTACCCTTCTCAAGCTTTGTTGCCCCTTTTTTTTTTTGGAAAAAATGTTTCTGAGCCCCAAAAAATTAAAAGAGATGTGTCTCAGCCCCCTCTTGTTTTTCCCTTGTGTTTCAACCCTTTCACAATCTCCCAGAATTTTTTTTTTCGAAATTACCCTTCCCTTCTTCTTCTTCTTCTCCTCCTCTGCCTCCTCTCCCCTCTCTTTTTCTTCTTCTCCTCCTCTTCTTCTTCTCCAGACCCTTGCCCACACCCCCCACCCGTCCTCCCTACCCCCTCCCCGGGCCCCCTCCCCGACCTCCCCCGCCTCCTCCCCCACCCGTCCTCCCTACCCCCCCCTCCCCGGGCCCCGTCCCCGACCTCCTCCGCCTCCTCCGTCAATATCCCTCTGCTTAATCGATTTGGGAAGACCTTCGATTGGTCTTTGAAGCCCAACCTGATGGGGATTGCTTGCACACAAGGTACAATCTTTATTAATTGAGCTTGAGTTGGAGTTTTTGAATTTGATTGAGTTTTTAAGTTCATTGTATTGGATTTTGGGCTTTCATGTTCGATTTGTGATTAAATTGAGTGTTTTGATGTTGAATTATGTCAATGTATTGAGGATTTGATGTGGATCTGTTCTTTGTCTTGATTTCTTGCAAACAGATACCTGGTGAGATTTCTTGCACACAAGGTGTTTGATATAATGTATTGGTGAGAAGAAATGGTTTTATTAGAGAGAATAGCTCAATCTCAGGCGTGTGTTATAATTTGATGGAATTAAACAAGATTTGAGACTGATGAAAAAAATCTATGCAGGTGAAAACCGAGAGATGATTAGTTGTTCAGAATAATAGCTTTGATTTGTCTTAGTGAGTGCATTCTGTGGTGAGAGAGGAATGGACAGTTGAAGTTTAATTTTGATAAGGGAATGCTCTATGAAGGAGTGCCTGAAGATAGAATGTTGAAGCTTCTTCAGATTGCATTGAAGTGCATATACAAATCTATCGATGCTCGACCAACTATGAGCCAAGTTGCCGAGATGATACATTCATTGAAGGAAGAAGAGGATAGGTCTGTTGTGTCTGAAATTGATTCAAGAGATGCTTAAAATTGGGGAGTCTGTTTTTATAATGTCCTGGAATTTATGTATATGTTCCGTTTGACTATTATTATTTGCTAGTGTTGTTTATTTGTTACACTGATGACATAGGTGATATTAGTCCAAATGGTGCTTTCAAACTCAAATTTAATAAATGAGGATGTCCATTTCTTGTTGATTTCTTGTTTCATGGTCTCCTTGACATTAGAAATTAAATAGATTATTGTCACATATTTTCATTAATGGACTGTGGTAGAGACACTAATTGCATTATTTCAAATAATGATGGGTCATCTCTGTGTTGCTAGTCCAAATGGCACTTTCAAGTTGAAATTTAACAAAACCTAGCACTGATTTGCATGAAGTGTGTACTCATATCATGTTAAGTTTCAACTAACCATGTTAACGTTCATCATAACATGCTAACTTTCAGCTGAACATGTTAACTTTCATCATAATATGTTAACATTTACTATTACATGTTAACTTTCATCATAAGATATTAAATTAAAGCTATAATAGTTACATGTTAAGATTATTGAGTTCTTGTATATCTTTGGCAGAAAAACTAGTAGAAAAACAAAAGGGAAAAATAAAAACAAGAGAAAGAAAGGGGAAAATGTTAACTATAATAGTTCTATGTTGACTTTTAGCAGAACGTGTTAACTGTCATCCTAATATGTTAACTTTCATCCTAATATGTTAACTTTTCATATTGAATGTTAACTTTTGCTGCTTTATGTTAACTTTCATCCAAACCTGTTAACTTTCACTGCTTTATTTTCATAGAAGCGTTTAAAAAAAGCTATGAATGTAATTGGTGATTGGTGTGGATTGCTTATTAGTACAATACTTTTGGTAGAGCAATGTAGGTTGTCAAGACTTGTGTAGCACATTGTATTATATTTTTATAATATCTAAGATTGTAAGTCTAATCTCAGGTTTTTTTCAAGCAATATCAGCTGTAAGAATGTAAAAAGATTTGTATATGCACTTTAATGCAATCTGAAGAAGCTTCACCATTCTATCTTCTTCAGATTGGTAGAATGGTGAAGCTTATATATAATGAGATTTAATAGTGTATTGTAACTTGAAGATTATGTACATGATTTGTATATATTATTATGTACACAATAACCTCAAGATTATGTACATATTATGTATCATAATATTCAGGTTTTGATAAACATAATTTATATATAATCTTCAGTTTATTATGCACATCAAGTTCTATTTGAATGAAGTTGTACATATTCACATGACAGCCATAATACATTTCACATACAATCGTAACAAATTACACCAAAATTGATCACTAAATAGACACAATACATTTTATTAAATTTTGGTCTAAGTACAACCAAACCATAAGAACACATATCAACTAAACAATGAAACATAACACGTTACAAGCAATTCTGGATGCAACATAAGGATCATCAGTACAACAATCTTAGAATTGAGTAGTAGTCACTGGAGGATGCTTCGACATTCCACAACCATAAAAATTATAACACACGTTTGAGATTGAACCATTCTTTCCAATAAAACCATTTCTTCTCACCGAGATATTATATCAAACACCTTGTGTGCAAGCAATCCCCATCAGTTTGGGCTTCAAAGACCAATCGAATATCTTCTCAAATCGAGCCAATATCCCTCTGCATCCCAAATCATCTCATATTCACAATCCTCATCCTTCTCTTTAGATAAAACTACCAAGTTCATTCCAATCGATTTGATAGAATTCATGCATTCGCTCAACCATGTTAAATCAATTAAGGAAGAAAAAAAATTTCCTGGTGATCAGCGGAATTCGAGGCCATCCCTTGGGCTGGTTGTGCTGGAGCTCCTGAATTCTCCATGAACAAACTGTCGAACAACTGAAGTTTTCCAATTAAATTGTTTCAGAACAAAGTCACGTACCCTGAAATCATTCCTTCATGAAGTGCAATAGGTTTCTGCAGTTCGGGCAAAAGAGCAAACTCTCAAAGTCAGGCTCCTGCTTCATCAAATTTTTATGCATATATACATATCTAGGCAAATCTAATCCATTTTCACAACTGCAAAGCTACAATTTGCTGGAGAGACCTTAGGAACCTCTGATATTTGGACTTTACATGAAAATAATAAAGATAAAAGGGAAAAATGTTTCTGGGCCCATCTGATATCTGGAGAAGAAGAAGAGGAGGAGAGAAGAGAGAAGGGAGAGGAGCAGTTAGCGGAGATGAGGAGAGAAGAGAGAGGGGAGAGGAGGCGAAGGAGAAAAAGAAGAAGAAGAGAGGGGAGAGGAGGCGGAGGAGAAGATGAAGAAGAAGAGGGGAAGGGTAATTTCAGGGAAAAATTTTCTGGGAGAGTGTGAAAGGGCTGAAACACAAGGGAAAAACAAAGGGGGTCTGGAACACATCTCTTTTAATTTTTTGGGGCCCAGAAACATTTTTCCCTTTTTTGTAGCGGGGGGATTTTTTAAAATAGATCATTTTTGTTAAATATTTAGCAAAATAGATCACTTTGCTAAATATTTAATAAAATAGATTTTTTTTTGTCAATAGGTTAAAAAAATGTCGATTTTAAAAAACAAAACTCAGAAGACATACGGGACTACTAGTCCCGTATGTTTAGAGCCAACTTAATCACCATTATTTTGAAAAACAAGGTTCAGAAAACATACCGGACCCGTATGTTTTCTGAGCCTTGTTTTTTAATATCGACATCTTTTAGGCCTATTGGTCAAAAAAGATCTATTTTGCTAAATATTTAGCAAAATGGTCTATTTTACTAAATATTTAACAAAAATGGTCGATTTTAAAGAATTTCCCTTTTCGTAGCGTGCTTCCGGCTTCGTGTTTTCCTCCCATCACACATAAAAAGGAGAAAAGGACCTCCCCGTCGCAGCAACGTATTCTGTAAATAGTATTTTTGTTTGAGAAAAACCCGAGTTTTATGAAATATCCGTACAACACGTAGACTACGAAACGAAAGCAAGGAACCCACCCCCCACGTTCTATGAGATATTCGTGCAACATGCGATGTAGACCTCCGAAATGGCAGCACAACTCTCTAATAGTTGGGAATTTTAGCCTGCTTATCGCCACCTTCATGCTTTTTACATGGATTATATCCGATTTTACTTTTTTATAATGTTTTCTATGCTCCATAGAATGATTCAACTGTTGGATAATCTATCGAGACATGAATAGTTAAACTAGAAGTTGAACTAAAAATATAAATTAAAGTTATCCTTCACCGTCAAAAACAATGAAAGTCTTCTCCTCTCTTCTCCCGTAACTAACGATTAGAATTTAGTCTCTTTTCTAAATAACGTTAACAGGAAGGACTCTCACGCTTTATATAGATATTTATGACTAACCTTACCCGTCATGATTTAATCACAACCGTAGGATTATACTCTGATCGATCCTATCATTTAAATATTTGTGATTAACCCTACCCATCATGGTTTAATGACAACCGTGGGAATAAATGGATTATATCTGATTTTACTTTTTTATAATGTTTTCTATGCTCCATAGAATGATTCAACATCAATAGGAGGAGATTAACACACACAAAAAAAAGCAAGGAAATTGAGGAATCTGAATAAACATTTCTTCATGATTTTCATTCCCGCTCCTATACTCCTTACTGGAGAATCTTCACAGAGGAGCCCCCAACATTTACCAAAAAAAGAAAAGATTTTTTTTTTAAAAAACCCCAAAAAAATTAATGCAACGCCCCCATTTTCGATAATCCCCAACCGAGCAACGATCGATTAATCCTCCCAAATAACACACAGAACGGTATCCCGCTGCTCGCAGCGCCAGCTTGGTCAGCAGCATGGCCGCGTCCGAGCAGCCCTTATCCGACCCCGGCGCTGAGTTCCGCAGGCACATCCTGACGACGCCGCACGCCACCTCGTTGGTCACCACGTCCCACAACCCGTCGCTGGCCAGAATCAGGCACTCGTCGCCCTCGCTCCTCTCCGTCACCGTCACCTCCGGCTCCGATGTCACGAACGGCTTCAGCTAGCTGTCGCCTATGCCACGTCGACATCGCGAGACCCGAAGCACCCTCGCGACTCCCAGTAGATCACGCGGCCCCCGGCCGCTTGGATCCCTCGAGCCGTCCGGCCGCTCCGCGCTGCAATCAACAAGGACACATCGTCAGATTCATTATCGGGCCCAAAAAAAAAACCCTATTATCGCCTTTCAACTACCTTGTGTCCGAGGAGAGGCACCGGCACGCCCCTCCGGCCCAGCACGCAACCGTGAGTCGCCGCAGTTGAGACGACTTATCTGTCCGCCGACACGACGCCACGTACGCCGTGTACCCCACGTTGTCGCACTTCGGGGCCAGCTCGCACCTTGCCAGCTGGCGCTCAACCGCCCCGCCGGAGCAGCGACACCGCCTCGCGTCCATCCTAAGAACCTCCGCTCATGACCGCTTCAGCCCGCCGACCCTCGTCGGCGGGGCCGGTCCCGGGCCACCCGCTCCATTTCGTACCGCTCACTATCGTCGTGCTCCGGTCTTTCTGCCACAGAGACCCGCGGACGCTGAACAGTGAAAACTTCGCTTAAAAAAGGAAAAAACAACACTTGCAGTTATTAACAAAGCGCATAATTTTAACGGTAATTAAACCGCCCTGTCAAGTTGAAATTTGAAATTATTATTTCTCAATGGCTCCTTTCTCAGTTAAAAAAAAAAAAAACACCCGTTGACAATAGGGGATAATAGGCATTTTAACTTTCGAAGCTAGCTTACATGACGAGATCCATCTGCATCAAAGCGACCCCGAAGAAGTTGAAACTTCCAGGACCGCCGATACTTCCCTCGACAAAATCGGCCGGATCGAGACGCGCGTCCTCCATGTCCGTCTCCGCCCGCTCAGACCCGACGGACAACCCGTACTCGTGCACTCATCAGATCGACTCGGCTCCCAAAGCTCCACCCTCGGCGCATCTCAGATCCGACCTCGGATCGTCCTCCTCATTCACCGTCGTTCGGCCGGGCGGCGACGCTTCGCCTCCCCCAGCTTCCATCCTTCGGCTGAGCTCCCGGCGATTCGCCATC